ATAATTTCAAGGTGAGAAGTCGTGTGATTAATTCTTATTTTCGGTGAAACAATGAAAATTATGACATAGTCAACGCTTATCGATTTCTGCTGCGTATGCATCAAGGCATGTACCGTCCGTTTCTAGGGGAATTTTAAAAAAATACGACCCCTACAGGATTTCCTCCCTTGTACGACCACCCTTCTCCATCATCTGCCTTACTATTGACTTTTCCCAACTTTCCTGCGACTTGTCCCTTCTTTTCCAAAAGGACCATCTAGGACCAAATATTCCCTATTCCCCAGTCAATGTCTTATAACTAGTCTCCCTCCCGTTTTCAGGGTGCAGCATCGTTGTGTGAAACACATCTGGGGTCGTATTGGCAGCTGGTTAGGGGGAGGGGTCGTGTTTGGTCGGAAGAGGAGGGGGTCGTAAGCGCGTTTGAGGTAAATTTGCCGCGCCGGGAAAATTCTTCTCTGTTCTTAACTTTGCGGTTTTTCCCCGTTTCACATCGGCTGTATACTCCCCCCACCCCCCTCTTCCGCTCCACGGAAAAATTTCGGCTGGAAAATGTGGGAAATAAGGAAAAACTCGCAGGAAGCTGGGAACTTGTAGGAAAGTGGTAGGTAGGTGCTGGGGAATGGGGAGGGTCTCATCGAGACCTTCCTTCGAGGGGGGTCGTATTGATACCACCACTTCTCACATCACGATGCTGTACCCTGGCCGTGTTCCCATCCTACTTGTAAGACGACTCGGTAGGATGCACTTGTTGGTCAGAAGAAGCAGTTACCGTACTTCAGAATACTGGCCATTAAATGCAGTAACACTTAGGACTTTTGCCTTCGAGAAGGGTGAAGCCCCAGAGCTCCATTCCTTGATCCCTTTAAGGCTTTGCTGTGACCGTTTGAAATGGAGAAAAATGTTTCCACTTTGGTTTCAAAGGCACTCCTTGCGTTCATTTGATGTTCAGGCGCCTTATTCAGACATGGTATTACATAGCCTCAAGTATGGAGAGTGTATTACTTTCTTAGCTCAAAACTCGTGGGAAATGGGTGTCCCGCTCGCCGCGAGGCCACGGTCCCGCCTACTGGCCTTGGCAACGCCCAACTGTCATTTCTAAAGGCTTCCTGGTTTCCTGGTGGGCAATGTTCCTCTGCTGGCTCTCTCCATGTCAAATGGCGCGAGCGAGGTGATAAGCAGAAAGAGCTGGCACCAACAAGTGCGATCTCGTCCGATCACACCCTCTTCGCCCTATGCACGTGCAACCGCAGCTCAGCACGAGGTCTTCCTGTCATTAGTATTTGAGCTCACCTACATTTTTGAACCTGAGATTGCCTTTAATGCTTATACCAAAAAAAGTATGTTATACTGCAGTAGCACCCGGAATTATTCTACCCTTTGTTCTGAGCAGAATAATGCAAAGGATGGCCTGACCCCTAATCGCATTCAAGCGCCAGTAATGAAATTTGTGCCCACACCCAACGTGCATTTGGAGGCAGACTGTTTGTCGTGAAATGAGTGGCAAAGTCTGCAGCAGATTAATCTTACGCTTCTGTTGCAAG